ACTAAGGTACCCCAAATCCAAGGCACAAAAATGGCAGAAGACAATATCCTCCTACCCCAAATCTGGAAAGTGATTCACTGGCAAGTAGACTAAGACACCAGGTTGGGGGCCATGGCTTCTTTCATTCTATAATCATGTCTGTTTTCTTCACTATATTACCCAACAGTTTGCACTTATCCAACCCTATGTCCAGATTTCCAACCATTACCTCCATAGTCAGACCTTTCCATGGGCCCATTTGTCTTGGCCAGGCCCACAGAGACCTAGTCTCTACCTTTCTCTGCTTAATATACCCTCTGCCAATATACCCTTATTTGGGAGCTTTGGTGGCATAGTGCCTAAGACATTTGACTGCTAACCAGAAGGCTGGTGGTTCAAACCCACCACTCCTTGGAAGGAAGACTGGGCAATCTACTTCCTAGAGACACTGCCTCAGAAACCCAAGGAGGGGTTGCTATGAGTTGGGATCGACTCGATGGCAGTAAGTTTGTTTGTTTTTGATATACCCTTACTCATAAGAGGAGCTCTGGTAGCGTAGTGCCTGAGACATTTGACTGTTAACCAGAAGCCTGGTGGTTCAAGTCCACCAGCCACTACTGGGAAGGAAGCTGGGGCAATCTACTTTCGTAGTGATACCACCTTGGAAACCCAAGGAGGGGTCGCTATGGGTCAGATCCGACTCAACGGCAGTGAGTTTGGTTAGGTTTGGTTTACTTATAAGTGGACAACTCCAGTCATTACATTAAGTGTTCCTGTCCCCTAGTCTCATGTGTATAGGTGCCATTAAGCTTGTGAATAAATGCATGTGTCTCAGAATGCTAGGTCTCTAAGCACCTAATCTTTTCCTCTTACAGAGAACACAGACAAGAAACTAAATCTCTGCCTTCGCACTGGCCCACCACCTGTATGGCTGGTAGATGTTTAAGAGGCCTAAGGGAAGTCCATGTGGCCACTTTCAGAAACATCAGTCTGGTTGCACTGAAAACTGAGCAGGTGAAAATCCTTGGCAAAAAACTCATTAACCAACAGTGATCCTTGGCTTCTTTCCCTACAGTTCAGTACCCTTGATTGCCCTTATTACAGTCCCTGGCATTGTTTCCATGTTACCATGAATGTGTGCTTCCCACTCTTACCGCTCTATTTGGTTATCTGAGAATTGATAGGCTAATCTCACGAACTGCACAGAATTGATGTTTATTTCCCACATATTTTAATGTGAGTAATTGGCAGGTAGTCCTTTCACTCAATGATTCAGAGAGCAGATCTCTGGTAAATTGATTTCTCACAGGAGTGCGAGTAACCAATTCTAGAGCTCCTTGACATGCCTGCTTATTGTTGCTACCGAGTTGGTTCAGACTCGTGGCGAGCCCGTGAGTGCAGAGTAGAACTGCTCCATTGGGTTTTCAGTGCTGTGGCCTTTCAGAAGCAGATTGCCAAGCCGTTCTTCTGAGGTGCTTCTGGGTCGATTCCAACAGCCAACCTTTCGGCTAGTAGTTGAGTGCTTACCTGTGTGTGCCACCCAGGGACCCTTTCAATGTATATTCTTGCTCCGTGGGCTAGGAAGCCCACTGTGCCATCTCACACCAGTCTCCTGGTTCTGCTGCTGCTATTTCTCTGCCACTGGTTCTTGCCATCTCCAGTGTTGCAGCTCTCTGTCTCCTGGGTCTAAGATGTTCCCAGTGCATGGACCCCAGGTCCAAAGGACACACTCTGCTACCGTCTCTTCTTCTTGCTGGTAGTCAGCGTCCCCCTTCTTGTCTCTGAAGTGTCTCCTTTTAAACTTAGTGGGATGGTAAAACTGACCAGTCTCCTTGTAGGGTTCCATATACCTTATTTGCATGGTCCCGCCTCCACAAGTATGCTATGCACCTTATTTGCATTACTAGCAAGCTATCCAATTCCTTTGGTGTTCCACAAGCAGTTTATTTGCATAGTCCCGCCCAGTCATTTGGAGGGAGTTACAAGACCGTGGTGGAAAAGGTCATATAAATGTGATCTATGGCACTGCATATGATGTGTTCACACACAGAACTGCACTTGGAGTTTGGAGATCATTCCCTGCAAGATCACTTTGCCTCTCTTAATAGTCTACTGGGGCATTTGGGGCATGCCTAGTTAATGACGTTTTCTCAGGAAGAACCAAATAAGAACTCTTAGAGACCATGCCTTTATTGCTTCCCTCCTGCTTCCAGTGATATCTGGTTCATTATAATCTCCTTATTAAGGCTTCCTAGTCCAAGGGCAACTCTTGGCAGAAGTGAAGATGAGCTGAGAATACCCCAAAGATGGTGCTTTAGAGGTGGGTCACAGGCTTTGGTCTGATTTGAGGAGGCAGGTTTCTTCCTCTCAGGCCTCCTTCATTTAGGCCCTGCAGGAAGCACTGGACTGGAGCCTACCACTCTACATCTGCCTCCAGGCGTGGCCTGCCTGCCTGAGCCATCTTCAAAAGCAACTCCACATCCCAATTGGCCACAATGTAACCCAATCCGTGGAGCTGGCCTCAGGACCATTTCAGAGGAAGTGTGATTGCACACGGTGGGAGAAGAGTCTTTATCCCAGAATGAATTTCCACTGGGACTATGGGACCATGGGCAACACTGGTAGCCACGCTGTGCTGATTAATTCTTACTGGCAGCCTGAATTACCTTTTCTCTCACCCCATGGCTGTCCTCTAAATTAAGAGAAAGGGAACATAGGGAAGAGGACTGGGGAAAAGTAGGGGCCACTTAGTGTAGAAGGCACTGGAGCCATAACTTTTTTTTTTTTTTAATTGTGATTTGGGTGAAAGTTTACAGAGCAAATTCTTTCCAGACAGCAGCTCACATACACTTTGTCTCATGACATTGACTACAATTTATCACAATGCAACAGCTCCCCTCCCACTTCCTCCCCATAGTTACCTCTTCCCTGTGCCCTTCCCTGCCATGCACTCCTGTCCCCTGAGCTGTCTCCCTGTGCATACACAGCCCTTCTATTCTCCCATGATTATTCTCTCCAAGGAGTTTATCTACCTAATATAAATGTTCAGCTCATATGCCTGTCTTTTGTTTGATTGGAAGCCACATGTGTGGGTTCAATTCCAGACCTGAAGGGCAGCTAGAGGCCATAGTCTCAGTGGTTCCATCAGGTGGAGCTATAACACTTGGCACCCAGTTTCAGACCTCATGGAAAGGTGGCCATACCTGTGGATGATGGAGTGGGAAGCGTGGGGTTAGTATACACACTCCATGCCTTTAGTCTCTCCATAGGAGGTCTGGTGGTGCTGTGGTTAAAGCATTGGGTTGCTAATCAAAAGGCTGGCAGTTCAAACCCACTAGCAGCTCTTTGGGAGAAAGATGAGGCAGTCTGGTTGTGTAAAGATTTATAGCCTTGTAAACTCTATGGGGCAGTTCTACTCTGTCGTATAGGTCACTGTGAGTCAGAATTGACTCAATGGCAATGGGTCTGGTTTTTGATTTTAGTTTCTCCACAATGGAATGTGAAATAAAATTATAATTTTTGCTTTATGAAAACAGAGAGTTTTCTTACCCACAACACAAAAAGTCATCTTATTTAATATTAGAAACCCATTTCTGTATAAGAAGCTCTGGTTAAGGCATTTGGCTGCTAACCAAAAGGTCAGTGGTTTGAATCCACCAGCAGTCTGCTTCCACAAAGATTTGCAGCCTTGGAAATCCAATGGGGGTCTCTATGAGTCAGAACTGACTTGATGGCCTTGGTGGGTTTGGTTTGGTTTTCTGGATGTGGTATATAATCATAAATACATATGTATCTCACCAATTTTATCGAAGTGATCAAGTTTGCTGAGACACTTGAAACTCAGTCTTTCTTTCACAAAACAATGGAAAATCAATGTGCAGGCACTGTTCCCAAGAATCCAGAGGTCTTACAACCATGCCTTACTGATCTTGTTGTCTTAGCAAGATTTCTATTTTTCTATTCTTTATAATATTTGAAGGAGCTCTGGTAGCATGCTGCCTAAGGCATTTGACTGATAACCAGAAGGCTGGTCGTTCAAACCCACCAGGCACTCCTCGGAAGGAAGGTTGGGCAATCTACTTCCATAGTGATACCGCTTTGGAAATCCAAGGAGGGGTCGCTATGAGTCGGATACAACTCTACAGTAGTGGGTTTGGTTTGGTTTTATAATATTTGAGCATGTACTGCTCTCTTAAAAGAGTTCTATATTGGGACATAGTCATCAAGCAATCAAACATATTTTGTTCAAAAAGTTCCTGATGAAATTATATTTAAGTACCCTAAAAATCTTAGTTAATCAGAGCACTGATATACTAGGTAATGATGGACTGCTTAACTTCAAAGTTGTTGATTAAACCTGCATAGAAATCTGCAAATGGTCTCTGAGTTGTTTATTTTTGACAGGAGCAGAGAGAGGAAGCCCAGAGGAAAAGTCCTCTTTAAGCTGTGTCTAGGCCTCTCACTCTTTTGGCCCTGAGCATGTTACCTCACTTCTCTGGGACTCAATCTCCTTACTTTAAACATTCACTTGGCGGAACTCCCACTCTGTAGCCGGTTGTGACCTCTATGTATCGCCAACTCAACCTAGCCCTTGTGATGCAGGAATGTTCTCCTTAGTGTTCTCCTTAGTGTTTCACATGAACAGTTTTGCCCATTGGAAGTTCTGGGTGAATGAGCAGAGACTAGGGGCTGAGTGTCCTGAGCCTGGCAGGGGGTGTGGGCCAAAGGGAGACATCAGACAAGCATGACCAGAGGAGAGAGGTGGGGACCTGGGCACATGAGAGTATGGGGCAAGTGTGGGTGCTGCACTGGGTTAGCAATGAGTACAGGAGTGGGAGTACACATACAGGGTCCCTGGGCTTGTTGTCCTGCTTTATCTGACAGCAACAAGCAGTTCACATGGTGGGGAGGGCAGCATCTCTGTTGATGGCCAGGATTTGTTGTTGTCATGCTTCAGTCATGGGCACAGACTCTGAGGAGAGGGTAGCGGGAGCAGGGAGGCAAGTAGCCTAGGCCCCTACTCACAGGAGGCTCATGCAGACGTTCCCGCAGAAGGTGGAACAGCACACATTATTTGCTTGACACTCTTGGTGATATTCACAGAGGCGATGGCAGTGACGTATGCTTGGCCGCTTCTCACAGGCCCTGATTTCTACGAGTCCCTGTGGTTCTGAGATAGGATAGGAGGTACAGTCAGTGGAGCCAGACCCCTAGAAAGCACCCTGTTCTCAAGCTTGACACTTTCTTCCAAGACCCCAGAACCCAGTTCCCACTCATAGAATCCCAGACTTTTCAGGAAAATACCTTCCTCCCCTTTCAAATCCTATAGATTGTTTTTAGTTTAAACCCTATGCCTCCCTCCTGCCTCAATAGGCCTCCCAGTGCCTGGGCCTCCTGGACCCTCTCCACATACCTGCTACTGTGCCCTGTCTCCCTTATTAGTCAAGGTCTTGGTGAGATCACCCCCATGCAATCTATGCTCGGACACTGAGAACTCAAGGAAGCCTTAGCGGTCCTCCTAACCTCCTTCTCCAGAGCTTTCAGGGTTCCAGAGAGGAAGAGAACAGGCTTTCCTTCCCTCCCTCCTCTCACCACTTCACTGTCTCCAGGACTCCTGTCCAGAACTCACCACATTCAGTCATTCCCCTACAACCACCAGCATGCTGGTCCCTCTGATAATTGGACCTTGGTCCAGTAGACCCCACATTTTGCTTGTCCAATGCCCTTTCTTTCTACACTGACCCACATCTCTGAATATGTTTATCTCTCACAAATGTACATACATCTAAGACTAATTATTGTTCTCTCCCATCTGACTCAGCCCTGGGGCACCTTTCACTACGTGTCCACCATCTGTCTCTGCATGGTGGAATGGAGAATAAAAAGATGTAGGCTGCCCCCTCTCCCCTATCACTATTCCAAAGGCCAGTGAAGAGGTTGGAGGCCATAGTGTGGGAGGGCCCTGTGTCCACAGCCTGGGGTCCAAGCCAGATGTGTTAAGAGGTACCAACTCCCAGGTCTTCCTCAGACTGGGCAGAGTACCTCCAGCTCCCTGCTTGTGCCCTTCCTCAGCCCGTCACTTACTGGGCAGGATCCTCCGGTGGCGATTGTGAGGCCCTCCCTGGACTTGCAGCAGCAGTACACACAGAAGCAGGATGGGCAGTAGAGCCTGGGGCGCCATGACTCTGACGGCAGTAGTCAGCTTCTGAGTGTAGCCAGGAAGCCAGTGGACTTTCATGGAGCACCTGAGTGTGGAGAGGGAGGCAAAACAAGAAGGCGTCATCCTGGGCTCCTTGCTGCCCCCTCTGGCTGAGTCAGGGCAGTGCAAGGAGCCCCTGTTTCCCTCCTCCTTTGCCTGCCCTTTTTCTGCCCTTTATCATGTCCTTTTCCGTGTGGGTCCCAGCGTTGGCAAGGACCAGCTCCTTTCTTTTCACGTAACTAACCCTCTCCTTTGGCTAAACGTGTTTTTTGTTTTGAATGCTATCTATATCTATCTATATATTTCTCTCGACATAAATATATGTTGTTGTTGTTGTTGTTATGTGCTGTCGAGTCGAACCTGATTCATAGCGACCCCTCCTTGGGTTTCTGAGGTGGCATCACTACGGAAGGAGATTGCCCAACCCTCCTTCCAAGGAGTGGCTGGTGTGTTTGAACCGCCAGCCTTCTAGTTATCAGTCAAATGCCTTAGGCACTATGCTACCAGAGCACCCATATAAATATATAAA